CTATTACTTATCTTTCTGTACTTATAATTACAAATTTTGTTTATTGGTTTCTCCCTGATGAAAATTCCCCTGATAAATGTCAGTGTGAGGCAGTTTGGACTTGCTTGCAATTTGTTTTACAGGAATAAACCCACACTTAACAGGCTTAACAAAGCATGTGATACAGATTGGTTCATAAATAAATAACTTGTTATCAATAGATTTGGATCTCTGTTTGGAGCTATAACAATCTGAATAATAACATAATGTGTGGGGTCCATGAAAGAGAATTTGTGAGGATAACTCCAAGATAAAAACTTGCTTAACCCAGGGCAGAATAGTTCTAAAGAATTCGAGATTTTGTTGCAATTTTCTTCTTTGTATATTAAATGCCCACCGTTTCTTCAGTGTTAAATTGTATCTTCCATTCCTTTAGCCAGGTATCCAATGCCTGTGTCTGGTCCCGTAAATGTCGAATGATTGGGCTAAGGAAAGTACTCTGAACAGGGTTCACTGTGGTCATCAGCATGCATGCAAATGTAATGTTGGGTGTTTATGGAATGTTGCTTACATAAATGTCGAATAAGGTGTGTCCTAAAAGAGACCCTTATGGCGCACACTTGGCTTGTATAGCATATCAGGCGTGGTCAATTGACCACCCTATAAGGTACCTATAAGGTATTTCTCCTGCCTTCGTGGTGTAGTGGCCTGATTAACTATTGAAAATTGATTTGTATCTCCTTTTCTCATTTCTTTTCTTTAAAATAATTTTTAATTGAATTTTTTCTCTAAAATAAAGTTAAAATTTTGCATTAGAAAACATGAATCATTATACTGACCTAATCCTTTAATTTGATCAACCTAATGATTCATTTCCCTAGTGTGAAATTTCAGCTCTGTCTAAGGTTGTTGGACATATGCCAAATTACACTATCAAAGAATGTTATAAATTTTCCAAGCATTAACATCAGAATGGATCAAACAGTGAATGTGAGGAAATAGGGAAGAAAGTAATTTCTCCAAAAGATAGAAAAGAAAAAACAATTTTCAGTTTTCGGAGTTAATTCAGGTGGTTGAAAGGATAATTGCGTGATAACATTTTGCATTTGCTCATGCATGAAATAATCTTCCTTAGACAGCCTAATACAAAGCTGTCAATGCTTACAACTGATAATTGCCCAGTGCTTTCGCTTCGTAACCAGTTTACTAATTCGCATTTCAGATGTATCCCAGCTTCTCTTCAAAAGTCATGCACAGGCATTTCCACTAAAATTGATTGCTTTTGTGCATATTTTGCTATAATCAAAAAAGTATTAATTTGGAAGTTAAACAACAAAAATCAGCGTTATATTTTCAAATTTTCACAGGACTAGTTTAGATGGTTTTACCGAACCATCATCCTCAGCTGCAAATGAACGAGATAAGATATAATGATAAGATGAGACAAGAAAGTTAGGACAGGAGATAAGCTAGTGGCGCCATCTGTTGATGAAACCAGAAGTAAAACATAATTTCTTGAATGCTGAAGGCAAAGATGCATTGGAATTAGGGTTGTTAACTAGAACAAAAAAATTTTTTGAATGTGAAATGCCTCTAGAAAATCCAGTTCACCAATGGGAGATGTTTTTTGAATAATTTTGGCAGCAGAAAAATTGAAAGTGTGATTTTCAGACCAACAATGTTGGGCAACAGAAGACTTCTGTGTTTCCTTTTTTCTAACATATGCCTCATGTTCCTTAATGCGAAATTTTAAGGCTCTCTTAGTTTGGCCAATGTAAATTAAAGCACACTGGCAAGGAATCCTGTAAATACCACAGGAATTCATATCCGGAATGGGGTCCTTGAGTATGAACTCGGAATTTTATTGATGGGAGGAAAAACAACCTGAAAGTTAAATTTCTGCAAAATACTTGCAACTTTGTAAGACATTCAAAAAAAAAAATATTTCTGTTATAGTTAACAACCCTAATTCCAATCCATCTTTACCTTCAGCCTTTAAAGAAATTATGTTTTAGTTCTGTTTTCATCAACGGATGGCACTAGTAGCTTATCTCCTGTCCAGGCTTTCTTGTCTCATCTTATCATTATATCTTATTTCATTCATTTCCGCTTTTGCAGCTGAGGTTGATGGTTGATGGTTTTGCAGCTGAGGTTGATGGAACCATCGAAACTAGTCCTGTGAAAATTTGAAAACATAATGCTGATTTTTGTTGTTTGACTTCTAAATTAATATTTGCTTGGCATGTTTTCTATCTTAATCAATGAAGTATTGTTTGAATACCATTTATAGTTTTCTTCGATTGCCTTCTTATTGCTTTTAACATTTTCAGCACTGCTCCTTTGTTACCATGGTGTATACGAGCCAGTTTGCCTTAGAAAGTCCTCCACGAAGGCATCCCTCCCCTTAGACAGATAGCCCTAGTGTGCTTTGCCATAATTAATTAAATACACCCTGTTACCATGGACTACACTTTTTATCTCGGTATTGAGATTCATAATACGAAAATTCAAAAGTTTTCAGATTTTATAAATTATGGCCAATGGGGCTTTGTTTAACGCTTTATGTGTTACCTTTATTTACCTTTATTTATTAAATATCATGTTCTTCTCACTTAACCACAATATTCAATTCAACAGCAATATCACAAAATAATTAAAAAAAAGAGCATATCTTTAGAATTTCCGATATATAGTCTCTCGCGCTGGATATAATTATTTTTCCGTACAGTGTTGCCATTGCTCACTTTGAAATTCTTGAGTTTGTTAATCAAAAATTCGTTAATGTTTTAAAAAATATGAAATCGATAATAAAGCAAATTCCAAATTAGGGCGTCCAGATGCCCATATTCGGGTGGAGGATTACGTTATTCATAATTTGATGGCTCTAGGTACCATTGTTTTATCACAATGCGAGAAGCATATGTACATTTATGTAGATTGGTTATTATTTAATTTCTTTAACTATAATGCAGGGCTTTAATGGCTATAATGGTGGCAACAACTATAAAAGTGATACGCCAATATAGAATATAGTGATTCGATGCAAAATGCTAAACGAAATTAATAGCCCTTCTGAGCTAATAAAATACCAGGTAGTATATTTTAATTAATTATTATGAGTAAAGAACTGAATGTGTAATACCTCAGTTGTCTTTTCTTTTTCTTTAGATATTAAGTATGTTAGGGAAAGTATCTATCTCTAATATTACAACATATTCAGATTATCAAGACATTCAAAGAAATGATGTCAAAATGCTTTTTGTAAGATCGAACAAATGTTGCTGACAGTATACATCGTGCCTGTAAAAGTCTTTATTTTCGCATCTGTGAGGTGTAAACAGTTACTTTTAATTACAGAAATGTTTTCAAGGTTTCAAATAGTAGTAGGTTTGGAGGTACTGGAATTTAAAAATATCAGTTTTTTTGAAAATTAAGAAATCGAACTGTTTATGTGTTTCTCCAATCCCTATAATTATGTTTAATAACAATTTCATGGTTGCCAACTCTCCCGTTTTTTATCACATTTCCCAGTTTTGAATGTTAAGCCTTTATTTTTTTATATTTACCTTTAAATGTTTCCTGGCTGTAAATGAAATTTAAAATTTCAGAAACTAGGCCTTTTATTGCATGAACAATATTATCTTCGTGGTATTATTGCTATATTTATATAGCTGTAGTACTTTTATACTTTGTAAATATTAATTGCAAAGGCCAGATATGACAAAGCCAACTAAATTACAAGAGGTTTTTTCAGATTTAAACAGGCACTCTGTTTAATCATGGTTTGTGATCATTAGCCCAGGAGGACTATTAATTTTGTTTTGGCATTTTGTGGCATTTCACTTTTCAAATTGTTGCCACCAAATATTATAGCCTGCATTATATTTAAAGAAAGAAAATAATGAAGAATCTGCATGAATGTATGTATGTTTCTCGCACTGTGAGAAAACAATGGAACCTAGAGGCATCAAATTTTGAATAACATAGTCCTCCATTCCAGTATGGGCATCTGGAAGCCCAAATTTGGAATTTGTTCTATTTTATCTATTGCATATTTTGTAAAGCATTTATGAGTTTTTGATTAGGAAACTCAACGATTTCAAAGGGAGCAATGGCTACTCTGTACGGGAGGGGGGGGGGAATCTCCAGCAAGCGAGACTGTGTATGGAAAATTCTAAAGATATGCTCTTTTAAAATTATTTTGTGATATTGCTGTTGAATTGAATTTTATGGTTTAATTGCGAAGAACATGATATTTAAGAAATAAAGGTAACACACTAAACGTAAAAAAAAAAAAAAAAAAAAAGCTCCTTTGAAGAAATATAAAATCTGAAAGCTTTCAGTTTTTTCTTTTTTTTTAAAGAGCTTTACTGCAGCATGTTGTGCCCGAATAAAATGACACATAGTATTAATTAGCATGAAGTAGTTGCTAGACTAAAGAAGACGATTCTAAGTTTTGGGACGCGAATGTTCGTACTTTTAACAGAACTCGTATAATTAATTAATCTTAAGTAAAAAGAAAAAAAGTTTTTGTCTAATCTTTTTTTTTTTTTTTTTTTTTGTTGTTGTTGTTTTCTTACTATGTATCAATTTCCTTCAAAATATTCTACCATATTATTTTAATGCCTAATATTTTTTTTTTCTTTTAAGGAGTTTATTTTTCAAGTAATACAATTTTTTCCGACTAACCCATATTTAGAACGAATTCCAAAGAAACTTGATAATTTTTTTTTTTTTCCCTTTCCGTTTCTCCTTCACCTTCACGATTCTCCATTTCATTATCCCAAAGAAATTTCCAGAATGTTACAATCAACACTGCACAAACTCCATCCTTTTGTAACCAGCGTCCGTCACCGGAAACAACATGTTTTCCACTTCCGGTCAGTGGGACAACATTTTGCTGAAAAAAAAAAAAAAAAACTTACTACTACTGCCTTCGATTAGTTTTTGTTTTCTTTAATTTCCTTTCCTACGAAAACGTAAAATTCTGGCGACCAGTTGGCGATCGCCACCGGTTGCTTGTCAGGAGTTTTCAATCATCTCTCAGTACTCGGACCGCCGAGATAAAGTTCAAGAGGGGTAAGAGACCAACTCCGCGGAAACGCAAATGACGTTGCCGCCTGAAGCATCATCCCGAAGAACTTTTCTTGAGTCTTTTTCCTCTGTCGTTTACGAACAACGACTATGAATGCGTTTTTCGCATTTCTCCACCGGACAGGTGATATAATGTGAAGGAGACAGGGAGGTTTATGTCAAAAAGAGCATCAGGACATGGTGGCCGTGTTCTAAAATACGATGGTTGTTTATCATCTTACTTTGTGTTCTTGGTTGATCTTATCGTGGATTGCTTCTAGGGGTAACTCTGAGAAGAGGAGCTATATGACATGTAAGTAAATCATATTTTTCTTTGCCGTTTTAAATGCTGTTGTGTTTCATCCTCTTAGGTTTGATCGCTCGAATGGAAAGACTATTCTTCAATACCAGTTCCGTAAATGCCAAAAGGAAATTTATGTGACATCTGAGAAGAGATTGCTACTAGTAGATGTGTGCTTGTTGTATCAGTCACTGGTGAAGCAAATGCCATTGTTATGGTGTACCAATCATCGATGTTTGTTGTACTACCATTATGATGTACCAGTCATAGAGAAGATGGTTGGTTAAGCAACTACCATTTTGGCGAACTTGCATTCGAATCCTCAGTGACAGTTGAGAAAGTTAAATGTCAAAGTCGAGTTTTCGGTTTTGACATTTACAATCAATTTTTGGTACAGATTAGACTTCTAAATTTTGATATAATTCATCATTCAATTCCCTGCTACAAAGTTTGGTTGTTATAAGTGTTGTCGGTCTTAATTTATTATTTATTCATGCCGCCCAGACGGTATAGTGGTTAGAAGAGTCGACTGCGATATCGAAGGACCTGGGTTCGAGTCCCGGAGAAGGCATGAATGTAAATGGTCTGTCCCGTCATAGGAGGTAATGGTGACCGCCTGTTATGTGCCTCCACAATAAAATGGCCAATGCTGAAAAAAAGCAAGTGCCCGCCATTTCAAAAAAGAAAATACTTTCAGTATATTGTTCTTATTTATTCTGGCCCACCAGCGCCCGAGCGGTGAAGTCGGTGAACACTGGTAGTTTGGTCAGAGGTTCGAATCCCGCGAACGGGCTAGCTGCATGGGTGTTTTCGTGGTTTTCCCCATGTGTAACGTGTATACGAGCCAGTTTCCCTTAGAAAGTCCTCCACGAAGGCATCCCTTCCCTTAGGCAGATAGCCCCTCGAGGCTTTGCCGTAATTAAGTAGCCTAACCTAACCTAACCCTTAGAAAGTCCTCCACGAAAGCATCCCTCCCCTTAGATAGCCCCCTCGAAGCTTTGCCGTAATTAAATAACCTAATAACCTTATTTATTCTGTATCAATGTGTAACAAGCACGTGAAGAATGACGAGCAGTTGGTGAATGCATGTAGACTCATGTTCAGCTATGCTTATGAAATTACATTTATAAAATGAATTGATAAAATGACTAACTAAAAAGTTGTGCATTGCGCTTAGTCGAAAGCGTTGTGATAGGACTGTTACTTTAAAATAATATTTCAAGGTCGTACTGACCCTCCTGTCATTTATGATCTTAACGTATTAGAGGATTCTACCTTTTCTCAGTAACAGTCGTTACCATGGTTACAGTGCAAGCCAGAAAGAGTGATGTTATAACCTTGAAAGAAATGTATATTCTAAAGTAATAGATTATAGTATTGCTCATTTCACCAGCCATTGAATCTTTTTTTCAATATACATATTGTATTTTTCTTCATATTCTCAGCATTATTCCACATGTTTTAATTACCATCAGTTTCGATAAGTAGCAAAATGTATGTTATCGTTTTGCAGAATTCTTGAGAAATGTGCCTAATAATTCTAGTCGCTTCTTGTGATTATTCTTAAGTGCTATAAATATCAGAATTCGATAATCATATGTGCATATTAAATGCTAAAAGTGTATTTTAATACTAAATGGTAATGAATAGCGAAAGGGGTAAGCGATAAATTTATGTGATGAATAAAGATTCTTATGTATAGTAAAGTTATGTATACTATATCCTAAATTAATTTCTTCATAATAAAAGTATATTTCTTTATTTGTTTAATTAAATACGGCAAAACACATGAAGATCGTCTGCTTAAGAAAAGGCTGACCGCTCTTAGTACTTCTGTACTAAATCTAGTACGTTTTATAAACTTTTAGTGCTCTAGTACTTAATGCATTTGTCATTTGATTTGAATTTTCTAAATCATTGAAAATATTAGCTACAAAGATCTTCATAGAGAATAGCATTTATTGAAAACTGTAGATACACTAAAAAAGATGGAGAATTCGTGCGAGAATTTTTTTTTTTTTTTTTCTGATTTAACATTTTTTGTTAAAGCTATTTTGTGTCTTCTTCATTCCTTCTTCAGCATCTTAAAGAATATTTCCAAGGAATGAGAATAAAATCATTTTTGAACGTTTTTGAAAAATGAAAAAAATTAATCAGCGAACAATGTTTCTGTTTTTTTAGGAGCTAATTAATTCAGAAAAAATATGCTAAAATATAGATAAATACTTCGAGTGTTTTCTTGTATGCAAAAATATGTGAAATATCATATTAAATAAATCAAATATCTACACCTAAATTATGGTTCCTATCCAAGTTAAACATCATATTGTATCAACTAATGTTCACTATCTGTATAGTTCTATATTGCTAACGTTTGTACTATAATGTGCCCATAACTAAACCTAAATAGGCTATTTAAGTTATATATAATATAACCTAAATGGCCCTTCACTATCATAAACAGTCACATAGAAGAATATTCGGCATCTTCTTATCTCGGCCTTCCCTTTGTAATAGTCCTTGCAACAAACTCAAGACTCATCTATTTCAAGTACTCAGGACTCAAGCTGAATTTGTAACATATTTCGTATGGCTCGACTTTGAGCACAAACTGCTTCAGTGGGGTTAAGCATATTTTGGTTCTAATTAATATTTTAATTTGGTACCTCAGTTTTCAAATCTTGTTTCAGCAAAACCATGTTATAGAGATGTCGTGGTAGACAGGGTGGTAGACTCTTGTCTAGATGCACCCCTTATGTACTAAATTTCGTAGCCCCGGGTCTATTAGCTTACGCTGAGCACGAACGAAAGACACACACACAGATTTTCACTTTTTTATATATATATCTTCTATTTTAAGGACACTAGTTGTAACTACTAAGGATGCCATAACTGCTTAAAACGGTTTCAAGTGTTAAACTGAAATCTGCGCTGAAAAATCAGATTGCAGTTTCCTTTTAATATTTTGATTTTATATTTTTTAATTTAAAAGAAAAAAAAAAAATTACACTTTAAAGGCGCCTTAGTTTTCAGATTGCAATTTTTATACAACTTCTGATGATCTAACGCTTCAACTGAAAAGCCGTAATATGACTTCTGAGTGTCTATCATTTTCAATCAGATTATGCGTCCTTGGTTGATCTTGAAATAATAACATGATCTCAATGAATGATCTTGAAATAAATAGCATAGCAATGGGTTTGAATAACTATTAAATGGAAGCTGTGAATTGCTGAACTGTGTTCGCTTACAGGTAGTTAAGTGATCAAAGCTATTCCGAGGTTCCCTTGTTTTATAATCCTTACATATTCGAATTATGCAAGAAGTCACGTAATCTTATTGAAATAAAAATACAGATGTGTAATCTTTGCTTACTTTAACAGATAGATAAGCTTCTGCGCAGTTCACACTTATTTACTGAATTTATTTCCAGCTTATATAATTTTTATCCCCTTATATTGTATGTGCTTTTAGTTACACAAAGATCTATGTGTTGTTCTTTGATAAAAGTACTGTCATTGTGTACATAAGTGAGATGAAAAAAAAAAAAAAAAAAAAAAAAAAATATGAGATCAGAAATTCTAAAAAAATTGCCTTATAATCTCCTTATTTTTGTTCTTCGAAGAAAATATGAGAGTGTTGCCATTTTTTATATCAGTGAGATAAAAAAAATAGCAACAAATTCATCTTAAATCATCTTATTTTCAGAATATTTTTAGATTAAATAATGTCATGACTTAAATTTTATTAAATTAAAAACTTGTTGTAAGAATATACATTTAGTTTAATTACTAAATTTCATACGCTGTATTTACAACACACATATAATTTACAGACTGTTAAATAAATAAAATTCTATTCGCAGAATATCATTAATTTACTGAAAATTTTAAAAAGTTTCAGCCGTTTCAACAAACACTATTTTTCCAACAGAAACAAGAGTACTTTTATGCATTCCTTGGCAACCACAGAAATATTTATTCGCTGTTACGGCGCAAATTTCGACGATTCTGAAACGCATCTGTGGCAACAACAGTTGGATCGTTTGGTTTCGCTTCAGAGAAGCGTATTCGAATGAAAATTGCTGCGTAATTATGAGTATATTAATTTAATTTAAGAACAGCAGTGCAAAATTATGATTGTGTCTAATTAAATAATATCCATATTGGACATATGTGTGCATTAAAAAGAACTGTAATACAGTCAGAATAAAATCTGTGAATGCTTCAAGTTCAGAACTCCTGCTTAGCTAATTAAGAGATGAAATCTAAGAAAAATCAAAGAGTGAAGATTACGCCTGGAATAGACTGTTGACCTTTGGGTAAGTCGCTTTGGGTCGCTAATTGCATCTAGAGTTTGAAATCATTGTTGACTGTTGTTTTTCGTAACGTTATCTTTTAACAATCTGTTGTTCGCAAAAGCAAATCGCAAAAGGCGTTTAAAATGAATATGTTTTGTAAAGTAAACTGGAATTATTTTTCCGTTATAGAACAAACCGCACCAAGCAATTTTTATATAAAGATATATGAAAGATGCAATCCAAAAATTCACCGAATTTTCTGCTATTAAATTATTTACCTTAAAGCCTTTAAGGTAAATGAGAGAATTTCGCATTCTAATAGATAACTTTGTAGATACATTAGGTTAACTGGAAGTAGGCAAGATGAAAAATCAGCAAACGCCTTCGCCGGGAATCGAACCACAGACCTGTGGAATACCGGCCCAGTGTGCAGACTGAAAATCCTAGCGCACTTCCTAGCGTGCACGAAAGCACGCTAGGAAAGCGGGAGAAATACCTTGTATACTCTCCTTTCTAAAGGGCGACTGAGGTTTTTACGGGACCCAATCGCCAAATCCTGGGTGTGGAGAATACTCATCCAACACCCTTTTAGTTCGGGCGCCACTGCAGAGACATTAGTGGTTTTTTTTTTTTTTTTTCTTTTTTTTTTCTTTTTTAAAGGCCGGAGAGATGAAACATTAGCATCGCTTTCGCCGAAAATCGAACCAAGGAC